GTGTCTTTGTGCTTTTTCGACAACTGTGTATTTTTTGGGAGATGAAGGGGCATATATCCAGCATGGAAACATTTTATAACTAAAGTGCAGGTGGAACCTTACCTTAAAAATGGCATCTGATTGGACTGAAGATCCTAAAAGTGTAGAAACTGTGACTGGTTAGAAGAAGAGAGCACAGCCAACATGGACTGTGTTATTTTCCTATTTGTAAGTGCCTGAATTTGCAACTTTATTTTAACATTAGTAGCATGGGAGGGGGAAGGAGAGGAGGAGGAGTTGTGTGTAAAAAAATACTAAAATGAAATAGTGCAAACCAAATAAGCCCACTTGAAGCAGAAGCTTCTCATCACCCCAAGATGAACCCCAGCTGCAAAGTTCAAGACCGAAGTTTGGGACAGCTGGGATGCTAAGGTTTGGCTAATCAAGGAAATAGAAAGGGTGCAGGGAGAAAGAGCTGTGAAGTATGGATCTGGAGTCCTTCAAAGTTTGGGGTTTTCAAATGCAAGCAATTATTTTGACCCCATCTCTCCATTTAAATTTAAAATTCTTCCTTTGTTGCATTACATTTTAAAAATTGATATTATAAAGCAGAAAAGGAAACAACTGGAATAAATTGCCTAGGGAGGTTGTGGAACCTCCACCACTGGAGATATTTAAGAGCAGGTTGGATAGACATCTATCAGGGATGATCTAGATCAGGCCGGGGCAAAATACAGCCTGCAATCCACATCCAGCCCACCAAGCCACCGGATCTGGCCCACAGATGCAGTGGGGAACCCCAGGCAGGCTCCCCGCTTGCCTTGTCCCACCCACGTGCTGCTCTGAAATGTGGCTGCAGGGTGGTTTTTCTTTTAAAACAGTGAGTCTGGAGGCGAGGGGGGGAAAGCTTTAGGAGCTGCTCCCACACACTGCACAATCCCATTGGCTGGTTTCTGGCCAGAAATGGCCAGTGGGAGCTGCCTGTTTCAATAACAGGCAGCCATGAAGTACAAGGGGCTCCAGAACACATGGCTGCAGCCTGTGCAGGGAGTGGGGACAGACAGGGAAGCTGATTCAGGAATGATTGCTGTCTGGTAAGTTTCCTGGCAGAACCTACCTCTGACACCCCAGTTCCTCACTTTCCCAACTCTCTGCCTCCCCCTCCTCCTCCACATTCCTAAATCCTCTGCCCCGCTCCTTCACCCCAATCCCCTGCCCTAAATCACAGTCTCCTCCTGCTCTAGCTCACAACCCAAATCCTTGCACCCCCTCCTGAACCCCAATTCCATGCCCTAGGTCACAATCCAGCCCCCTGCACCCAGTCCAGTGCCCCAAGTCACAACTTTTTTCTTACCCCAAGATCCCTTCTGCACCCAACCTCCATCCCAGACCCCACACCTCCTCCATTAATATCATAGCAGCCCTCAACCACTTTCCAAATTCTTGAAGTGGCTTCCCATCAAAACTTATTGCCCACTCCTGATCTAGATGGTGCTTGGTACTGCCATAAAGCAGGGGCTGGACTTGATCTCTTGAGATCCTTTCAAGTTCTACTATTCTATGATTTTAACTATGCTGCTTCCCCCCCAGGAGTAAGTGAATGAATGGCAAGGAAGATAATGAAATCCTTAGCTGAATATAATTTAGGGTACATCTAGACTACATGGCCCCGTCAATGGAGCCATGTAGTCTAGACATACCCTTAGGGTGTGTCTACACCAGTGGTCCCCAACCATTTGAGGTTGCCGGGCGCCAGGGGGCATGGCCGTTTGCCCGCTGGGCACCAGGGGGTGTGGCTATTTGCCCACCAGGCACTAGAGGGCGGGGACACTTGCGCACTCAGGGGCAGCCCCCCCCGAGAGCCGCGCACCCAGGGGCGGGGCCCCC